TCGGCGCTGCTCAGCCGGGCTCTGCCTGCGGGGAGCGGTGGGGGGTGAGGGACCGGCCGGGCCTCGGGGCACCCAAACGGGGCGGGCACCGACCGGACGACCTTGGGGCTGCCCCCGGGGGGACGGGGCACTTGCCTGGGGAAGCGGGACCCGCCCGTAGCAGCGGGACCCCCGCCCGGGCCGCTCGGCGCAGCAGCGTCAGCAGCATCGTCGTGTCCCCCCCCCTTCGCCGCCGCCGCCGCCGTCCCCTGCCCCGGAAGCGGCCGGCGGGGCGGAGCGGTGCAGCACGGCATGGCGGCCCTACCGGCAGGGCTCTTCGCCGTCTACAAACCGGCGGGGGTGGCCTGGACCCGCGTCCGTGAGGCGGTGGAGACGCGGCTGCTGAGCGGTGAGGGCGGTGGGATCCCCCCCCCATCCCCGGCCCCCTCTCCCGGGGGGTTACCGGCCGCGGCGGGATCCATCCCCGGTCTCCCCTGACCGCCCCCCGCTTCTCTTCCAGAGCTGAACGCGGCGCCGGGGCGTCCCCCGAGGCAGCACGTCCGATTCCTGCCCGCCCCGGCCGGGAGCGATGGAGGGGTCACCGGGCTGGTGGCCACCAGGGTGCCGGTGCTGGCCGACCACCCCCTCGGTAAGGGCCGCCGCGGGGCCTTGGCCTGGGAGGGGTGATGGGACCCTCAGGGTGGGTGGACCCCCAGGGTGGTGGGAGCCCCGGGGACCCCCTAAGGGCGGTGGGGAGTGATGGGACTTCTGGGGTGATGGCACCCTTAGGGTGGTGTGACCCCTCGGGGTGATGGGATCCCCTGGAGCGGTGGGACCCCCAGGGATGATGGGATCCCCTGGACTGGTGGACCCCCAGGGGTGATGGGATCCCCTGGAGCAGTGGGACCCTCAGAGGTGATGGGACCCCCGAGGCAGTGGGACCCCCAAGGTGATGGGAGCCCCGGGTGGGTGCTATGGACCGACCCCGACACTGTCTCCATTGCAGTCCGAGGTCCGCGGTTCAGGCAGCTGAAGATCGGAGCAGGTCACCGACTGGACGTGAAGGCCTCGGGAGTCTTTGGTGGGTCTCATCCCTGAGCAGCACCGTGTCCCACCGGCTGCGAGGTGATGGGTTTCCGCGGGGGGAGGAAGCGGTGACCACAGCAGCACCCCTGGATCTCACAACCCCGCTGGGAGTATAAATGCTAAAACACAGAAGAAATGATCCAACATGACACTGAAAGTACCAGGAGATGGGAGCAGCCCCTTACCCCCAGCACACAGGGCTTTGCTGTGAGACACCCTGCTCCTGCCCGTGACACCATCCACGATCTGCCACGTAACCCCCCATCTCTGCTCCACCGCTTGAGTTGGCTTCACCGTGCCCAGCATTGCTAATTATTTGCCCCGAAGCACCTGGGTGGAAATTTCTGGGGAAATCCAACAGCCCTAGTTATGGGCCTATCATAGTTTTAATGAATGCAGTAATTTGGGGGTCTAATTGTGCTCCTCAGACATGACTTCTAAGGAGAGATCATAGAATCATAGAATGGTTAGAGTTGGAAGGGACCTTAAAGATCATCAAGTTTCAACCCCCCTGCCCTGGGCCCGGACACCTCCACACCTCCCACCAGAGCAGGTTGCTCAGAGCCTCATCCGGCCTGGTCTTGAACACTTCCAAACAGATGGTCCTCTCCAGGGTGGGGAGAAAGGTAGTGTGAGTGTGCAGCGCTGTGTCGGTGCTCGGTAGGAACTTCCCATGTGGCTGAATAACGGGTTCCCCATCTCCTGTGTTTCAGTGCTTGGCATAGGCCATGGGAACAAGCTGCTCACTGACCTGTACAACTGCCACCTCACCAAGGTAGGTGATGGCCCCAAAGAGCCCCAGAACATCTGAGCACAGCCTCATACTCAATTTCTCTGCCCCGGTGCCCCAGGCTGGCCTTGTGGCCGTGATTCTGCACTTCTGAGTCTCAAACCTCTCTTTTGAGACCTTCTCAGGTTCTCAGGTCTGTCCATGTGAAGGACAAGAATTTTGTCCTTCACGTGAGCGTCCACATGTGGCCCTATGAGCAGAGGATGCTCCTGTCTTTTTGTGCAACATCACCTTTGGCTGCGTTTCCTCACAGAATCACTACTCAATAACCTGGAGTATTTCTTTGATAAATTGCACTCTTTTTGCCCTTCTCCAAGGTTTACACTGTTGGTGGGCTGTTCGGTAAAGCCACTGATGACTTCTCAGACACAGGGAAGCTAGTGGAGAAGACGACATTTGGTAAGAAACTGAATTGATGTGCTTTTTTTAAAAAAAACCCAAACAAAACCAGAACACCAAAGAAAGAGCATGCTCACTGTAAAGTATTTAACCTGGTAAATTATGCCTTGAATGCTTTCCAGTCATTATTTTCACGTGTGGCCCACGCACAATCCTGGCCTCACCGTCCACCTGCTGTAAATACCACCACAATATCTACAAAGCCAGCACGAGTCCTGGTGAGGGTGGTTGCTGCTGGGTTGGCTGGGACCCGGATCTCTCCATAAATCATACCTAGAGATAGTGGTTAGAGGCTTTCACTGAAGGAAACTCTTCAGGCACCTGGGAAGAGAGACTGGAGCCAACATCTTGAAATCAATTAAGCCAAATGACTCTTCCCTGGGCTGCTCTGTGCGTTACCGTGGCACAACCAGAAGGGACTCTGCTCTCTGGGCAGTTCTCATCAGCCCATTTGGATGTGACCGCCCGCCGAAGGGACAGTAATGCCCTGGTGGCACACTTCAGATCGCTGCCTCTTTCCCATTTCTGGATGGATAATCCAGGCTTCGTTTCTGCCTTAACATTTGCAGATCATATCACAAGGGAGAAGCTGGAACGGATTCTCGCTGTCATTCAAGGAACAAACCATAAGGCCCTGCTGATGTACGTATCCAGGGGGGAAATGCAGCTGACCCGATCTGACTGCCATTTGCTGGTCTTTAAAACAAATGAGATGATTTTGTTTGCCACCATCAAGTCTTTAAAGGCTGGATTACTGGACAAGGAACAGAGAGAAGTTGCTCTGAGTGCTCTGTCCTCTGGTGAGAGGTTGCAGTTATGTGTCCCTTCTTATATCCTGGAATCTCCAGCTATTTTAGGACCTATTAGCTACATTAGGACCTACAAAAATATCTTGTAGACGTGACCAAGTACCTCCTTCCCAAAGTGCTGCACTACACTACTGACAGTACACACCCCATAGCATTAAAATATATCCAAAGACTCAACACATGGGCAGGTTTAAGAGTAAATATTTCAGCTCTGCTTTATTGGGGGGTGGAGGTATTTTTAATCCCATTGAAGGGAAGTACTAAGTGTCTGTGCTGCCCCCTTTTTTTAACTCCTTCCAGGCATTCCAACATCGATCTGAAAACACAAGAGGCCTACGAGCTGGCTGTCAGAGGGTTGATTCGCCCCATGGGAAAAAGCCCTCCGATAATCACAGCGATCCGATGCCTCCAGTTCACACCTCCAGAGTTCCAGCTAGGTAGGACTGGGACAAAAACTGCTGGGGAAGTCTGAGTATATAGTATGGCAAATAAATCGCAGAATCACAGAATGATATGGGGTTGGAAGGGACCTCTGGAGATCATCTAGTCCAATCCTCCTGCTAAAGCACGGTCACCCAGAGCAGGTTGCACAGGAACGTGTCCAGGTGGGGTTTGAATGTCTCCAGAGAAGGAGACTCCACTACCTCCTTGGGCAGCCTCTGCCAGGGCTCTGCCACCCTCCAAGTAAATAAGTTCCTTCTCATGTTTAGATGGAACTTCCTATGTTCAGGTTTGTGCCCGTTACCTCTTGTCCTGTCCCTGGGCACCACTGAAAAAAGATCAGCCCCATCTTCCTGACACCCACCCTTTAAGTATTTATAGGTGTTGATCAGATCCCCCCTCAGTTTTCTCTTCTCCAGACTAAAAAGACCCAAGTTCCTCAGCCTTTCCTCCTACAACAAATGCTCCAGGCCCTTATTCATCTTTGCAGCCCTCTGCTGTACCTTCTCCAGCAGTTCTCTGTCCTAAATCCATTAACTTCAGTTCTTATTCTTGATTTAAGGCAAAATAAGTTGGTGGGAACTTTGTATCAACTTGTACCTGGTATTCCCTCCAGCAAATATAATGGTTTGTAGTTTCCAAAGCCACAGAAGCACCTCCTTGTTAGTGGAAATCTTTAGTGGGTGAAAAGGTTTTTTTGGTAGGGCAAGATCTGGAGCCCTCACAATACTGAAGCTGCTAAATCAGGCCAGTCGTGCACCCAACTCACAGGTTTTTCCCTGCCAGTTCCAGATCTAAGACTGAGGCAATAGAATTTGCATAATGAATACCTATGGCAGAAAATTCTTCCTTATCCCAATGTTTCAGTGCAACACATTTCAGTGTTGGGTTGGGTTGTTTTTTTTTAAAAGCGTGGTTTGTTTTCCTGCAGCCAGTCTCCTTCTCCTCACAAATTATTTGTCTTACTAAAAAGGTACCTTTGTTAATTTGAAATACCAACATTTCTACATTGCGCTCCTATATCTATAGGTTTGCTTTCCAAAACATTCAATTTGGGAGGGGCTGGGACACCCTGCAGTATTCCAGAAAATCAGAATTCACCCGTGCTGTATCTTAAACAGTCTCTTCTACCAAACCAGTTCTTTCCGCATAACCGAGAGCAGTGTCTGGATTTACAGACGAGGTCCGAGTTTGTGTCAGCGCTTTGCTGCTTCTGAGGGAATCTCTCTGTCCTTCCAGAAATCCACTGCTTGCACGAGACTCAGCAGTACCTCCGAAAAGTCGTCCACGAGATCGGTCTGGAGCTGAAATCCTCTGCCGTGTGCACGCGGGTGCGGAGAATCCGCGACGGTGTTTTCACCCTGGATGATGCTCTCCTGAGGACCCAGTGGAACCTGCAGAGCGTACAGAAGGCCATTTGGGACTGTCAGCTGAAAGTGAAAACGGAGCTGGAGAGAACGTTAGGCCACCAGGGGAAAAGTCCCCTGGATGAGATGGATGCTGAGGTGGGCCACGCTGCAGACAGCTGAGCGCGGGCTACGGAGGGAATGGCCACCAGCCATCCCTGCAGCACATCACAGCAGCCACACGCTGACAGCCTGACGGACAGCAGGAGGAAAGAGGTTAATTGCAGTTCGCTTCCACCCTTCCCTTGAAACGACTTTCATCAGGGAGGCATTTATTTTCACTGACAGGCTGTATAATTATTTTTTTTTTCACAGCATCGCAAACAGTTCATTAACAGGAGTGAGCCGTGCCAAAATTCCTGGTGGCTTGGGGAACATTTGGTTGCTAAGGGATGTAAAAACCCATCCCCAAATTGTTCCTCAGCAGGAAACAGACAGCATCTTACAGAGCTGTATTCCCTTGACTGCACGGATTTGTTTGTTCCTTGCAAGCGGCTGCATAACTTATCTACTGTATGGATTTTATTTTCCCTCTGTTGTCCTGGCGTATTTTCTTTCCATCAGTCCTGCTTTCAGACAAGTAAAAGCTCAAAATCAGACTAAAAGAGGGACGTGCAGGAGAGAACAGAGCTTACACAAAGCAATGGGAGGGAATGGTTATATCCAGGGTAGGCGTCTGATGAGGAAAGTGGCTTGTGATAGGGACTGATCCATAAAATACACAAGAAATAGAACTGAAAGTGACCTAAAGGGGAAGAAGCTGGTTCTTGGCTCAGTTCTCACCCATGGGTGCACTGACTCTCAAAAAAAGAGCATGATGGGGTTTTTTTTTTTGAGGTGCTTTTTTTCCCCCTAAGGAGCCAAGGGTGTTTGGGGGGCTGTGGTATCCTGCTCCACAGCAGCTCCATGGCATGTACTGCCCTTCAGTGAAACTCTGTGAGCTCTGTAACGCCATTTGTTCTCCTTTAGCTCCTTACAGCTGGGTCTGACTTAGCAGAAATACACTTTCTAAATTTAAATTAAAAATCTGAAGTTACCCTTACATTTATTGCACTCAATATTTTTCCAGCTATACACTTAGCTAGCAAGTTTGGAGATTTATTTATAGAAAGCAGAAGATTTGTTCTATTCCTTTTCTGGATTTGGACTAAAGCCAGCATATTTCATCCTCCAGATAGCCCTTAAGGTACAAGAAGTAACTGGGAGGAGCAGTAAGAGGGGGCTGTGATGAAAGAGTGAAGTGGCAGAGTCCAGTCCTGTCCTGAAGCACCCCAGGAGTCATTAACTTTGTGCCTGGAATCTTCCAATTCTGGGTTTCCCTGCTCTGCACAGAGCAGCCAGAAGAGCAGCGGAGCGGAGCTGCCACCCCGCGGCACGTCACCGTGCCAGCTGCTGAGCTGCAGGGACTCCCCAAGGACAGCTCGCTCCTACCTCAGCTGGTTGGGTCCGTGCACATCCATCCTCCGAGGACACGGGACTGGGGACAGGGCACCTTCCTTGGACAACTGTCCTGCACCAGCTGAAGTGGAAGCCTGAGTTCTGGAGCCAGGCAGAACACTTGCACTGCTACAGCTATGAGTTTAAATACTAGTGCTCCTACAAGGAGAAAACACAGACTTCTCAGTCCTTAAATAACCTTCAATAACACTGGTAATGGAATATGCTTCATCCCCCGTGGCTTACATTTAACACAAACCGAGGGAATTTCTGTATGTACTTCCCATTGCAAAAAAACCCCACTTCCAGTTGTGTGTGCCATTGCCAGAACTAACATTTTGACAGGAACACTCCAGCATAAACCAGTTCTTCCACACAGAAAACAGCAGCCAAAACAGCAAGGTGGGTTTTGAGAATAAAGTGAGCATTTCCCAGTTCTTGCCGCCTTGTCGCTTTTTTCCTCCCCTTAGAACTATTCCAAAACAGGAGTTTTTCACACTTGGCAAGAGGGGATTTATGGTGGGGAGGGTGCACCTATAACTGTACCTGTGAGTCCATTCTTACATGGCCACAGTAAACACCCTCCAGAAAAGCAAAGCTGCACATCAGCAGAGAGTTGCTCGAATCAATCACAGAATACAGATATTTTCTCTGCATTTTAGACCCCTCCTCATGGCTTTTGTGGCAAAACAAGTTACTTATTAGTGGTGCTTCTGTGCCAGGTCCAGAACTGAGCGCACAGGCTGTTCTCAGCAGCAGCCTTGTGATGGTTTTCTGGTTTCTAAGCACTATGAAAACAGATTCATTCGATTCAAATTTGGAAATAACAAGCAGACTGCAGCACAGGCCTGACCCGGGCGAGGGGGGTGTGTGGGGAGAACTTACTGGCAAGAAGGTCTTAGAAGTGGAAAGAGGGAGAAGGACATCAAGCTTGAGTGAAAAAGGGACACAGGACCCGCAGTGGGCAGAGCACTTCATCACTGCACTTCATCACATGCACGAAGCAGCCAAATTTAGTCTGGACGGTCACCCCCAGTCCCTGACATTGGAACATTCACACTCTCAACATAATTTTGGGTTTAGGACACCTCTCGCTTTCACAGTGACTCTGCATTTAGAAGGGAATAAAGGTAATTCAGCAGCTCCCCGCTGCTGCCACACTGTCTCCATTAAGCCCTCAGAAAAACATTTGAATAACAGATGTTATAGTTGCCTTAGAATATAGTTTAAGAATTTGTCCCCGGGTTCATGCAAAGTTTTATAGGCTCTTACAGTGAATTACCGAGAAACGTGAGAGCTGCTTTATTCAGACTGGACAGTTCAACACAACTTCACATTTTGCCATTTACTACAGAAATGATACAAAACCTCTAGATACCAGAGCAGTTAAGTACAAAAATGCAGAACACCCAGACTTATCCAGATTTGATCATAAAACAAAACAAAACCCCCAAACCACCACAACTTCAGCCTTCTTCCCTCCCTACTTCTGAGGGTTTTTTTTCTTTTCTTTCAAAGCAGCTATTACATTGCACATTTGTATTTCCTCACTTCCTCTATCCATTCAGTATCCAAACAACCCCTGGGTGTTGTAGAGAAGCAAAGGCTCCACAGGAAGTCTTAACATCAAGCCAAATTACAACCTTTCCAATAAAAAGTAAAAATAGTGTCGATCAGGTAGTAGACAAAATCATCCAAAGTCCTACAACCCTTTCCCACAAGCAGGAAACAGTTGGTAGATTGAACAACTTTCATGTTCCAAAACTTCCTAGAAATAAGGCTGTTAACCCATACTCTGTTGCAATTTTACATACTTATTTCTGAGGCTGCCTTACACCAGTTCTAAACCGCTTCGGCACCAAAATGTGATGGCCCAGCAACAGTCATTATTGCGGGACGTGGCAGTCTTCATGTCCAATACTAGTCACTAAGCTCCAGATCGTATTCAGGGTAGAGCTGCTTTGTAGTAACCCCTCGGATAACAGCTAGAAAAGAAAGATATACCATTGCTTTCGTTAAATAAACATCAGATCGTTCAAGAGAATTTGTGTTTTCATCCCAGTAGCCCCTAACTATCCCACAGAACCTCCCATAGCCAAGAAACCAGTCAAAGGTTTTGCAGCTACGCTCCCTGTTGTCTCAACACTTTTCTATTTTTAAGCACATGAAGAGCAAAACTGACAAAAATTAGTATTTGGTAATTCACTAGTGATTGGGCAATATAAGCCTAGAATCAATGAATCTTTAAAATGAGCTCTGCCTTCATGGTGTAGCAGGTTCTCCCTCTCTCTATGTAAAAACATTCTGGCCAAGAAGGCCAACAGCATCCTGGCCTGTATCAGGAACAGTGTGGTGAGCAGGACTCAGGAGGTGATCGTCCCCCTGTACTGGGCACTGGTGAGGTCCCACCTCAAGTGCTGTGTCCAGTTTTGGGCCCCTTACAACAACAAAAAAAAGACACTGAGGTGCTGGAGTGGGTCCAGAAAAGTGCAACGAAGCTGGTGAGGGGTCTGCCTGAAAGGAGGGTGTAGAGAGGTGGGGGTCGGTCTCTTCTCTCAAGTCACAGGCGACAGGACGAGAGGAAATGGCCTCGAGTTGCACCAGGGGAGGTTCAGATTGGATATTAGGAAAAATATTTACACTGAAAAGGTTGTTAAGCCTTGGAATGGGCTGCCCAGGGAGGTGGTGGAGGCACCATCCCTGGAGGTATTCAAAAGACGGGTTGACATAGTGCTTAGAGACATGGTTTAGTGATGGTATTTTATCAGAGTTAGGTTGATGTAGATGATCTTAAAGGTCCCTTCAAACCTAGACAATTCTATAATTCTCTGATTGGCTAAGAAGTTCTTCAGCAGCTTTCCCCTGCCTTACCCAGCTTGCCTAGCAGCATCTGTCCAGCATCTTTAATATCATTATACTCGTGGAGCAGAGAGATGTGCTTCTCCAGTTCCTCCAGGCTGTAGCCTCTGTAACAATAAAGGCAGAAAGGTCAGAAATGACACAGCGGGATTGTTGTTGCTGCTGCAGAGCGAGCGCTGCCACTGCCGACCCAGCACGCCAGGGATATCTGAGACACACAAGCCCTGCACATCAAAAGCAGAATCTGAATGCAGCACATACAGTTGCTGCAAGTCATAAACATGAGAGCTACAAGATCAGCAAATCCTTATTTTGAGTTTGTTCTTTTTTTTTCACAGTAAAACTTACTGAAAAAAAAAACAATCCAGCCCCTGAATTCTCACAATGAATTAGAAATAGGAATAGGCTGTGGTGAGTTCAATTTATATGTATCTCTAATCTGTAGCTAGGAAAAAAAATAGATTAAGAAGGTCTGTTTATTCTTGAGGATAACCCCCCCCCCAGCGTTAGAAACAGCCTTTGTTGTGCTGCCATTTCCACTTCACGCATTACACACTATCTTAGAAAATATCTCTCCTTCACAACCAATGACCCACCAATAGCCTTTCTTTAAAAATCAAGCAGCAATTCTACCTCAGAACAGTTGCTAATAAGTAGCTGCCACAGTGTGTCATAAGAAACCACAATAAAACAGTCTGCAGCGTTCTGCAGGCCGCTCGCTTGCCTGCCTCCTCAAACACAAAGGTTTGACCCAGTGGCCTCAGATACAGAGCAACTGAACAGTTGATCAAGATGGAATAAAACCAGGAAGCTTTTATCTGGGACTAAATTTGGCAGGTCATACAAGTCATGAGCTCAATTTTAATTCTCACATGAACAAGCTCTTCCAGTAGCATGATGTGTTGTAATATCACAAGGGTTAAAATTACTCATTCCCAGTTTACACATAAATATCTCAACAGCATCTGGGATAAAGTTAAAATCTTTTTATCCAAGCTCAGAGTAAAACTTGTTTTGCTTTACCAAATTAACCAGAAGGAAATCCCTCTTGCTTTTAACAGGTCCCATAACTCAAAAAAACCCATTGTAATCAACATTGCATAGCACCATGATAAAAATGGCATCATGAAAGGTCAGCTTTTAGCTCTAATTCCTGGACCTTATTTTATTTTAAAAACAAAAACAACTGAGGCATCACAGCAAATACTGAGCTTGCCAAGGACATACTCAGACAATAATTGTGCAATTTCCTGGTCCAGAGCGAGGTCTTTCTGTTTCAGCTCTTCAATTTCACACCGCAGGGCTTCTTCCTTGGCTCCACGAGGTTGGCAGGACCTCGGAGATGGGATCTGTAGAGCAGAGAAGCCATTTAATACTCACTGACTCAGCCCTGGATAAGGTGCTGCTGTGCTGGAGGGCACTGAGCAGAGAATACTCTGTGTGCCACTGAATGAAAAGGGAGACAAGGGAAAAAAAATACCTCCTGGGTGGGGATGGGGGCAAGCTCAGGTAAAATAATTCATGGAATCATGGAATTGTTGGAGTTGGAAGGTGCCTCTAGAGATCATCCAGTCCAACTCCCCTGCCAAAGCAGGGTTGCCAATAGCACGTTACTCAGGATGTCATCCAGGCAGGGCTTGAAGATCTCCAGAGAAGGGGACTCCACACCCTCCCTGGGCAGCCTCTGCCAGGGCTCTGCCACCCTCACCCCAAACAAGATTTTCCTCATATTTGAGTGGAACTTCCCACATTCCAGCTTGTGCCCGTTACCCCTCGTCCTGTCACTGGGAAACCAGTTTATGTAACGCCAGCCTGCTCCAGATCATATTCGACGGGATTTTGGAGATTTATGGTGTCAAGTGATAACACAAAAGAAGTAAAACCCACAATTTGGCTTCTAAGGGAAAGTCCCAGGACGGTGCAGGGCCAAACCTCGGGGCCGGTGGGGACTCGGGCAACGAGCAACTTCATCCTCCACGAAAACCACCCCCCGCCGCCGGGCCGGGCCGGGCCGGGACGCTGGAGACATGCGAGCAGGGCCCACCTCCCCACCCCCGAGGCCGGACGGGGACTCACCGGTGACTTGAAGACGGGCGCTCCGCTCCGCCGGCCCCGCCGCCGCCGCCGCGGAGCAGGAGGAGGAGGAGGAGGGGAGATAATATAACAACAATAATCCGGGCCGGGAGGGGGGCTGGCTCCTCTTCCGTCTCCTCCTCAGTGCAGCGAACATGTAGAGCCGGGGGGTGAGCGGCCGAGACAAATCCCTTCCCCCTGAGCCTGCTTCACAACATCAAGCCGGGCCGGGCCGGGCCGGGCCGCGCCGCCTCAGCGGGGGCAGGGCAGGGAGGAAGGGGAGAGGGGACAACGGGGAACCGGGTCCTACCTCCTCGGCAGAGGCCGCGGCGGAGCCGGCGGGCTGCGGCCCGGAACCGGTGGGGACCCCTCAGCCAGGGCTGCCGCCTCCCGCCGTACCGGCGCGGGGCACGCCGGGAGCGGAGGGGTCCTGTTGCGGGGCACGCTGGGAGTTGTAGTCCTCCAACGGCCGCGGGAGGCACGCTGGGAGTTGTAGTTCTTCCCTCACAGGGCCCGGCCTGGAGGACAAACTTCCCCTTGCGGTACTGCAAGTAGCACAGGAGGTAATTATCCTAATTAGCGCAACCGAGGTGATGAGGCCTACCAAAAAATGCCTCAGAGCCGCTCCCCAGACCTGGCTTCAGCCGGGACAGGGTCTCAGGGGGAGCTCCGGCTCCCCATGGGGTCACTCATGCAATTATATATTATATATATTTTTTTTTACAGGGGAAAAACTGGTGCTGCCTGAGCGGCCGGCTGCCCCACACGTCCTGCCCGCCCAGGGGAAGCGCTCACTGAGGCACCGGCACAGCTCCCGGCTGTGTGGCCGTAGCTGTCTGCTCTGGTTTGAGGAACCCACCACAATTTACTGTCATTTGGACAATTATTCTCTCGGAGATTTCTCTCAGGGGTGGAGGTGACCTCTCCCCACCCAGGAAGGGGAATTGGGGAAAAAACAAGGAAACCTGAGGGTTGAAATATAGATGGAATAGAACAAGGCTAAATAATTAACACTAGAGAACCAGTATGGATCTCGGTACCAATATAAAGTGCACAAGGACCATTCCCAGCCCGTTCTGCCCCGGGAAGCCGTGCACTCCCCACAGGGACAGCCCGTGGGACACAGCAAGCGCTGCGGCTTCGGGAGGAAGGGACGGGCTCAGGGTCCAGCACCGGGGCAAGGAGTTCTCTGGATCGTCAGTCATCGAGGGAGAGAGAGAGAGAATTCCTCAGCAAACTTCTGATTGATATTGAATGTGACACTCATGGTATGAAATAACCCCGTTGGCAGCTTGGGCCAAGTGCCCAGGTCTCGCTCCTCCTCATCCCCACACCTGGAGAGCTCCAAAACGCTGAGATCTTGAACCCCACACCCCAGAGCTGGGTCTGGAGCAAATATTTTCACCATTTCGGACACCGGAGTCTTCTAAAAGTGCAGTTTTCCTAAGCATTAGACATTAGTCCCGGGTCAGCTCAAACCAGGTCACCTTCCCAAAGGTGCCATCCCTGCCACCACAGCCTGGAGACCCGGCGGCGGCTCCGGGGTGCCCTGCGGGGCATTCCTCGGGCTGGCCACACCGGCCAGCGCTTGGAAGGTCAGAGGAGCCGGGAACGGGATGACGGGCACGGGATCACAGGCCGGCGACACCCGACGCCGGCGGCAGCCGCCACTTCAAAGGCAGCGCTGAGACATCGGGGGAATAAAACAGCGATGCGGAGCGGCGGGACGCGCCCTGCGCAGGCGGGGGACGCCTGCCCCGCTCCCCGCCCGGGTCTGTAGCCGGGATCACCCCGGCCCGTCCGGTCGCAGTGGAGGGGGTCCCCGC